TGGTATGGCTACCTCAGTGATTACTCAGTTGGACACTAGTGTCAGGCAAGTCCAAAACTGACTACCGGGAAGATGGTGGGGCATTCGCTCGGCTCCCTCCAGTGAGTCTCAGCTCCCACATTGTGCTCCCTTGTTGCTCCCACGTTGAGCTCCCGTGGGAGCCTCTGCAGCCAGAGCCATCCCGGCCGCCTCTCGCCACCCCTGGCGCTCCTGGCTCCTGTTCGTGCCATAGCCTGCTCAGTCTCTCTTTGGCTCATGTTTGCAGTGGCGCCCAGGGCCAGGGAGACGACAGCCCCCTCCCCGGCAGATACTGCTGTCGCAGGACCCCGAGTCCCAGTGCAGGGCTGCACAGCCTGGCCCGGTGCTGAGGGCAGCAGCTGTGGTGGCTGGGTGCTGAGTGGCAGCTGCTCCCCAGATATGTGAGGGAGACGACAGCCCCCTCCCCGGCAGATACTGCTGTCGCAGGACCCCGAGTCCCAGTGCGGGGCTGCACAGCCTGGCCTGGTGCTGAGGGCAGCAGCTGTGGTGGCTGGGTGCTGAGTGGCAGCTGCTCCCCAGATATGTGTATGTTTAATCAAACTAACATTATGCCTAAAATGCAACACAAAAAGCAAGACAGAGCATGATGTTTATTTACTTTTAAACAGCTTTGTTGGGGTATACCTTACATTTCATAAATTTATCCATTTTGAGTACAGTTCCATGTTTTAAAACTAATAACTGAGCTATGAAACCATTAACATGATCCATTTTTAAATATTTGCAATACCCCAAAAAGATCCTTCATGCCCAATTATAGTTAATCCCTAATCTTACCTCTGGCCTCAGGCAACCACCACTTTATTTTATGAATATGTCCCTATGGATGTTCCCTTTCCAAACATTTCATACAAATGGAATCATTCAATATCTCTTGTGTCTGGCTTCTTTTCCTTAACATAGTGTTTTTGAGGTTCATTTATACTGTAGCATGTATTAGTATTTAATTTCTTTTTATTGTTGAATATCATCCATATCATTGTATGGATATACCACATTTTATTTATCCACTCACCAGCTGACAGACATTTGGGTTGTTCCCATTTATTTTTTTTAGCCATTATAACAAATAACCACAAATTAGACTCCCATTATTTTTAGAACATATCTAACATTTAAGATATTTACACAGTATCTCAAGTATAGGTGGCATGATAGATTATGAGGATCAGCAACTCCAGAGCCAGAGAGACACATGAACTAGTTCTCACTATGCCACTTAGCAAATAATTGACCTTGAATAAATTGCTTAATCTCATGGAACTTCAGTTTTCTTGTTTGTAAATTGGGAACAGTAATATTTCAATTGCATTATTTTTGTGTTAGAATAATGTACATAAAGTAATTTAGCCATAGTAGGTATGCACATTTATAACTTGGGGGGGGGGTTAAAGTTTAAAATTTTTTTGAAAGTTTATTTAAAAATTCCTAATCAAAGTGATTTTTATATCACACATTGCTATCCAACCTGCCATCCTTCTAATTTTGAATAATAGCATTCCACTTCTGAAAAGTTGTCAGTTTTCTTTGTGCCCCAAACCCAGGGGAATTTTCTCAATGTTTGTGAAGCTGGCCTCAAGAGAGCAGTCTTCAGTCCCTCCTTGTGAACCACAGGAAACAGGAAACTGAATCTAGGCAGAGTTGGTTGGTGTGTTTCTAGGACATTTACAGGGCCTTGTCTCTCATCAGCTGCGTAACCAGATGCTGAATCCTGTTTTCTAAAGCAGAATATTTCCACAGATCTCAGCTGCAGAACTTCCCTCTGCTGAGGACACTTGGGCAGGATAAATGGAGAAAGATCCTTGGGCAGCCTCATTGCTAATCCTGTGGCTTCAGCTTGGCCGTAAGTCCAGAGGTTGCAGAGGATATTTGGAAGTCTTGGGTGGTGATGGGGCAGGAGGAGGATGCAGTCAGGCACCTCTGGGTTTTATCTGAGGATGTATGAAGAAAATGCAAACTCTGCAGAGACACCAAGGTCTCTGTCTGACTCTGTCTTTCTAAACAGGAGTGAGCAGCATACTGAACGTGGAACAGAGTCCTCGGTCACTGCATGTTCAGGAGGGAGAGACCACCAATTTCACCTGCAGCTTTCCTTCCAGCTCTTTTTATGCCTTACACTGGTACAGATGGGAACATGCAAAGAGTCCCAAGATCCTTTTTGTAATGAATTCAGATGGTGATGAAAAGGAGGAAGGACGAGTAAGAGTCACTCTTCATACTAAGGAGGGTTACAGCTACTTGTACATCAATGGACCCCAGCTTGAAGACTCAGCCACATACCTCTGTGCCTTGACACAGTGCTCTTCAGGCACCTGCAGCCCATGCTCAAACCTGTAGCTGGTGCTGCTCTGGTCCCCAGTATCATCGAAGAGCTGTGTGTAGGGTGGAAAAGACAAGTGAAGTAAATTACAGATTTTTCAGTAATCAGGGGAATATGCAAATGTAGCTAAACAAGCATTCTAGTAATTGTAGCTCCCTCAACTACCTGGGCGATTATTAAACACCATTAACCCTTACTCCCACCAATACATTTGCCATGTCATTTAGTCAGATCCATTGCCTCCTCCTTTGGGTGATTCTGAATGAACTAGATAGTTACTCAAACCTATGTAAAATGATCTGGGTAAGAAGGGTAATATTAACCCCATCATTATTAATACATCCTGAGAGCTAGTTCTTTCATCATATTTGCTCACAAGCATGAATGGAGCATGTGGACATGACTGTTCCCCACACATCTGTCATGAAGATCTGCAAGTTTCATACTAAAGCATGTGATGCTGCCTCATTTAATCTATTGGGGATTTTGCTTTTGATTTAGCCCATCCTTTCCCATGCATGAATGCCTGTATTTCTTTTTTTTTTCTCATATGTGGCTATTTGCATTTTAAAAAATCACTTGTGATATTTGAAAGGAGCACTGACAGGGGAAGTTCACTTGTAAACATGGTCTATCTTCCAGCCTGTACTGTAATTGTGGTATTGAATAAGTAACTGAACTCTATCATCTAAGATTCTTCATTTGTAATTTTTTTTTTCCTTTTTGTCTTTTTTCGTGTCTGGCAATGGATCGCAACCCTCAGTGTTGCGCCCGTACCGGACCGGGACCGGCAACGGGAT